TCATTCTCATCACAGTAGTGCAAAGTACATGGTATCCACAGGCTTGTCTTCAATACCCATTTTATTCTAGGTAAGTATGGGTGATACTCTATTTGCTTCACACACAAAAAAACCCACACTATTTCATTTCATGAAATTGATCACTGCTTCCAAACTCACTAGATCAGAAAACCAATCATAGTGGCGTTGGTAGTATAGTGGTGAGCATAGCTGCCTTCCAGAAAACCAATCATGCATCATCTTCAGGAATCTATTGATCAAAATTTATGCTGAGTGCGGATATCAGTAAAGTACACTGTAAGAAGTAGATACCACTAAAAGTATTTCACTCAGCAAAATCTTTAAAGGATCTTATATCTATTAAATGATTGGTTATTTGGGGAAAATGAGGTTAGGCTATCCTTCCTTGTTAGCTTGAAATGCTATGATCACAGTTAAAATCACTGCCATCACCATGGACAGTCTGTGATTACAAAACTGACACCAAGATAGTGAAACATGCAGTCCTCCTATTGGCAACTTCGGTTGGTAGGAACTGTTTGTATGAGTGCTTGACCATTGCAAGATGACACCCAATTTCTCCACTTTCAGAGAATTTAACATATGACAAAATCTAAATTTTCGAGTGAATCACTACTTCACAAGGGAATCTAGGGAACCTGTTCGTTCTTTAAACTGTAACACACAAGAGAAAACTCACCAGGAGAAAAGAAATAAATTCATAGTGCTGATAACATTTTTGATAGCTTATCCATAGTGCTGGATGTCTCAAGTACTTAGTACTTAGGATACACTGTTGGATGCCAACTCCAAATCTAATCTCAATTAATAAAATAGGAATTTATTCTCAAAAACCATCTAGCAAATCTTCTGCCTCAGATTCTGTGCTAGTTTTCTTTCTAGAGAAAAGATTAGATGCCACTTTTACAAGGGTGGACAGCAATCCTTGCAGCATAATGAAAACAGATACTGTATAATAAATATACATTTGAAGAGCGACTTTTTTTTGTAATCAGATGCCATTCTATTGAAAAAGAGCCCCTAAGAGAACTAAAATGAGAAAATATTTGAAGCCCAATTGTGTCCAAGCAGTTGATAATCTATGTAATATGACTGTAAAAATGTAAATATTATATACAATCCTTAGATTTATTAAAGAAATTTATTAAGGAAATTAGAATACAAGCCACACTCAGTGGTGAGACATTATTGCTAACATAATACTATCCTATCATGCAAGACTAGTAAGTTACTCAACCCACTCATTACTGAATAGCTAGGTTGTTTTTGTTCTTGAAAGACTGGTTCTTGGGATCACTTCACAGGGAGGAGAGACTTAGCTCAAATATGATGCATCAGGGATGAATCTCAACTGGATGCTCTCCTTGTTCCCCACAGCGAGTGCTAATAACGTGAGACAGGATCAACCTGACTTGTGTAAGAACGCAGAAGAGGGGACAGTGCAGTGGCATGCTAGGCTAAGCCTTTGTGGCACCTGTGTCTCATACTGGTGCCAGTTCATCTGGGTGCTGCAATTTTAGTTCAGTTCTCTGCTTATATCCTGGGAAAGCAGGCTCCAGCACCCATGTTGGAGACCCGGAAGAAGCTCCTGGATCCTGGATCCTGGGTCCTGGCTTTGTATTGGCTCATCTTAGCCTGTTGTGGCCATTTGGGAGTGAACCAGAAGCTGAACAACCTCTTTGTCTATCCATCTCTCTGTAACTCTGCATTTTTAAACATAAAGATTCAGAGATACCTAGAGACTGACAGAGCACATGGGATACACTTAAGGATTAAAGATATTAATTCCTCATAACTCTCAGTTTTGCACTTACATTGAGAATTACTAACTTCAACATCCTGTTCTTTTTAGATATGATCATTATTTAAATCTTCCAAGGTTTTTATACAGGATAGCTTTTAATTTTGGCTTTTTTGATAGATGTTCAAATACAATGCGACGTGATAGATACATTATTATAATTATACAAAGAGATCAGTTTATGTGTTTCAGCACGTATCTAATCTACTTTAAGAACACCTTCCCTGAGAAAGCCGCACACAGATTGGAAAAACAGATCAATAAATCTAGGTTGTGCTTCTATTTAAGATCAGATGAATCTCTCAGGGGCAAAGGTGTGAAAGAACATCTGTTCACACGTGCATTTTACAAACTCGCATTTTTGTGGTAAAATGGAAAAAAATGTTCCTAAGCAGGTAGAAAATTTAATCCCTTATCAGATGCAGCCAAACCTGGCTAGATTAAACCTAAGACAATTGAGGAGTAATCAGATCATCCCTTGTCCACTTAAAATGTTTGTTTGTAACTTAGCCATTTAAAGGCAATTATGGACTGTCTTCATAAAGGACACGGCTGTCTCAGAAATGTACTCTGGAATCTCACAATCCTCATGTGGTAGTGCTTCTATCTGTCAACTATTTCCTATGTAGATCCTCATTCTCCTTCTGCATTCACAGCCTCCTATTAAAACACACACACACACACACACACACACACACACACACACACACACACGGGGCAGGCATTAGGCCTAACAATTGAAGTGCCTAGATAAAACACCTGACACTAGCTTCCTGTTTCTGTGCACTGTGGAGGACAATGGTTATGGCTGAAGTGACTGGGCTCTTCCCACATCACTGAATTTAATTTAATTTTAGAGCACTGAATGTAATTTCCTGGCTTTTGCCCAACCCACTGTAGCCCAATAGCTGCTAGCATTTGGGTAGTGGATCACTGTATAGAAAGTCCGTTCAGAATTTTAAGTGGAAAGGAAGCGGAGGGGAGGGAAGAGTAAGAAAAAGGAAAAGTGAAAGGAAGAGGAGATGAGAGGAGGATTAGGGGAGAGGAGAGGAGAGGAGAGGAGAGGAGAGGAGAGGGGAGGGGAGGGGAGGGGAGGGGAGGGGAGGGAGAGGGGAGGGGAGGGGAGGGGAGGGGAGGGGAGGGGAGAGGAGAGGAGAGGAGAGGAGAGGAGAGGAGAGGAGAGGAGAGGAAAAAATGCTATGCTTTACTTCTGTAATTTGTATTAGGAAAATTAACACCAACACTTGTAATTTGTAGTGTTTTCAAAGAAGGAATCTTGTTTCTTTGTTTTCTCAATGACTTATTATTCAGAAGTCATTTCTCTAAAATGCCAAATTTTAAACCTGGATTCTAAAGTACACTCCCACTGAGGACTTGCTTTCCAAGGTTTGCTTGTCAAATCTCCTTGTATGCTGCATAATAGCAGGAGATGGATTTCCTTCAGTAGGTTTTAGTCACTGCTCAACTACAGCATCACAGTGTCTCTCGACTGCACTGCTTACTGTCCACTACTAAGTCATCCAGGCCTGTGCCGAGTGCAGCAGCCTGCATTCTGAATTTTGATGGTCCTCTTTTCCTCAATAAAGATATTGTTACTAACTCTGCTGGCTGAAGTTAGGGCTATGACAAGGGAACGATACACAGAACGTGAACAGCTCAGGGTGACGTTACACTTCAATGAGGCTGAGATTCAAAAATTCTGCCTCATTTGTCAATATCTAGTGTTTGCTGTGCCATGATCAGATAATGTGGCAAAAATTACTTCTGTCTTCAGTTCTCACTCTCATTTAAAGGGTGACTGAGCTGCAAATATGAAACCAATCTGTAAACAAACATATTGTTAGTAAGATAAAAACACTGCTAGATTCCACATTCTGAAATAAGAACATAGTAATTCATTAAAACATCTAATGTGTGGAAGAAAAAAAATACAGTAACAGACTAAAATGGGGAAGAGAGAAATAGTTAACTGCTGATTACATCAGAAACTTGGTGCTGAGTCTCAGGCCTTTCTTTTCAGCACAAGTCATTAATAACCTCCTTGGTTTCTATGTAAGAGCATGTTAGCAGCAAAGTTGTGCTAAAAGGGAGATAATCCTTATTCACACATGTTTAGACTCAAAGCATGGGACTCATGCATGATAACAGATAAATTACAGAAGCTAATGAAATATAGTAAAGACTGAATGTTTTAAATATAAAACACCAGAACTGTTACGTAAGAATATTTTACAAACACATAAGAACAACATAAAAAAAGATGGTGTTTTATGTTCAAAAGTCTCTGAAAAGGAACTAATTTTTAAAAATAGAAATGTGCTCCCGTATAAGCTTTTCAACAGAAATAATAGACACCCATGTGTTAGTTTCCTTTCTCTTCTGCATAAGGAATGGGCAGCAATAAAGAATTAAGACACTAATAACTAAAACAAATAAATAAACATCTACCGCAAAATTACATGATAATAAACTATTAACAAAAATCACTTTTCCCACAGCAGTAGTGTATTTATTGTGTGGAAATCAGGAAGCAGGGAATGAATAGCTCTCAGGGGCAAGTACAGAATGTTCACAAAGATTTACAAATTTCTAGTCATTACATACTAAGCAGCAAAAACAAAGTTGCTGAATCCTCTTAGACCAAACTACTTTGTGTGTTGCAATTTCTTTGCGATTCTCATAACTGCATGCCTTTGGGGGAAAAGTATGTCACTTTAATGTACAATAAATATAGTTTACAAAATATTCTGAAATAGTTTACCTGTACAGACAGCATACATCCTACACATGCAGTTTTGACATGTTGTTGAAATACCTAGAAATATTCATGCTTTTGGAGGTCACACTTTATAATGATTTCTGTAACATTTCCTAACAAATTAATCTTTGCAATATAACATGGTACAAGTCCTCCTCCTGTTTTATTTCCAGTTGATCATTTCTACGACATAAAATATTTCATCTGTAACCAGCAACTTTATTTTGATAGTTCTGAATACTCTCACTTTTATTCACTGTTTTTTTTTTTTAACAATTAAACACCTTGTAACATCAAATACTGAACTGAGCAATCTTTAGCATCAAGGAGTCAAGAATATTGCACCAAAATGAATTTATACTTCATGATGAATAAATAAATAAAATCTTGCAACTTAGTCACAAGGAAAATATCATTCCAAAGTTTAACACATTGAAAAGAAGCACAGCTTTAATGGAAATCTCTGGTGAATAATATTTGCAAAAAAAAAAGAAGAAGAAACATCAGATTTAAAAGTTTGTATTAAAATTTACATTAGAGGACTCCTTGTTTTTTTAATTAAAATTTATTCAATTTTAAATGTTCTTTCCAACAGAAGAGGTAGGTATATTTCCACAAATGAAAATCAGTAACAGCCATAAATCAAAACAAGGAAAGCCTGATAAAAATCAACAGACTCTCTTCTGACAGCACACAAATGTAACTATGTTATGATGTTACTATGAAAGACATGAGCTGTATCATGTTTCCATCAGACAATAATCTCAATTTTCATAATAGATTTCTGCTAGCAACTGTATTGAAGGCTCCCTTCTCATCACAGGAACTGTTAGCCACAGTGATTGGTGCCGTGCGTCAGAGTGACCTTTGGTCACTAGGCAGGATTTTTACTGTAATTCTTTCTTATTTTCACCAACACCACCATCATCAAGCCTCTAAGATTCTACACAGATCAACAGGTTTTTAAAATTTAATTACAACTGAAAGGGTATATTATGACTAGAGGTGGAGAGATTTGACCCTTTTGGTCATCGAATGAATCCAAATGTGCAAATTTAAATGTGTCTATATTTCTCATTCTTTTCCAGAAAATGTAAGGGAACTGATTTTAATCACCAGATGATTGGTCATTTATCAGAAAAAAAAATTCATAAATGCTTTGATCGTCTGAAATTCAGACTGCAGAATGAGAGGATATAAGATACATGAAAAATCTCCTCCATTAGACAAGCAGATGTGATCAAGGGAGAGAGCCTCCAAAGTCACGTAATGACTGCTTTGGTCTTGACAACATCAAGGTCAATTAAAAAAAATGTTTAAAATAAAAATGTCATAAATAAAGCATCTGGGTATTATAGTTAACACTTTACTCAGCCTAAAGGTTACTAGTACATAGAGCACATTTGTCTCTTCTCCCCACCCCCAAACCCTCCTCTGCTTCTGTTTTCCCTGAAATTTTACAAGACATAGGAGTTTCCTCGCTGTCAACAACAGTTAAGGCCCAGTTCAGTTTACTCTCCTTTTGCTTTTCCATTTTTCTGCTTTTTTCCATTTTCTATCACTAGCTGCTTTTCTGATTTGCTCACACCATTTGCTGAAATACCATTCATGGCTGTTTTTCCAGTTTTTGATTTCTTAGGCTCATTGTATGTCCGAATATAGAAGTTAAGGAAGAGAAATATGAAGCTGATTGCATAGGCAATTAAAGCCCAGTGCATCCATTTGGGGAAGGGACAATCAGTGTACAGTGACAGGGCTGTGTGTCCAATGGTCACATGGAACTGAACCTGAAAAACAAAAACAGCAGTGCTGGCTGTGTTTAATCTCGATACAGTTTAATCACAAACACTTTTTAACATCAAAACCTTCCACCTAGCTATTCTCTGCTCAAACTTGGTACACTTCAAGGTTGGTTTGCTTGTTTATTTATTTATTTTCACTCTGAGTTTTAAGAGTTCTCTGGCTCTTTTCTCAACAAGGTCAAAGTTTTTATACCATCTCTTGAGTTGGGGCTTCTGAATGACTTCAAGTGGCTGGCCTTCTCAATTCCATTGACCCCAGGAAGGTTTGTATGTTTTGTTTTTGGTGGTTTTTTTTTTTTTGTAAAGAATGAATTACAGCTATCTGAATTTTTATTTTGTAATTTGTTGGATTGTTTATGTTTGTATTTCCACTAGAAAAAAATAATTGCAGAAGGCAGGGTTTTGTCTTGCTCATTGGAGAGATACCCGGAGACTCAGTGCATACAGTCTGAATGCTGCGATTGGATAAGGAGGGTTTAGTGGCCAGGGATGGAAGAGTAGTAATATAGTAAGTAGGCTCTTCAATTCTGTTTTCCTTTCACATTTTGGACTGATTTCCTTTCACCAAACTGCCGGCAAGCAGGATAAACTTACTATTAAGTGACTCAGAATCTCTCTTGCAGACATGAGACAGGTAAATTTGTAACAAAGAAACATTATCCTTTAAAGACTTGTGATTTGATTTAAAAAATAGTAGATATCTGAGAAAAACAACAAAACATTACTTGAAACTTTGAGAGTTTTTATAAAGAGAAAAAAACAAAACTGAGATGCTGAAAGTAATGAAACAACTTTAAATTCTAAAACATCAGTAACTGAAAGGCACATGATGTAAGAATTATGGATTCTATGTTGGTAACAAGGGTTTACTTTTCAAGACTAACTAATAAGAAACTATTGTGAAAATTTCCTGCTTGAAAACACAGATTCAACATCCCGTTTTTAATGCAATTCTGGCTTCTTTTTCAAGGATAACATTATTTTTCAACATACTTTTTCAAGGATCACATTAAATGTAATTAAAACAATTCAGTGCATAAAAGTCAGAAACCTATTAGCTTTTTTTTTTTTTTACAAATTTCCATACCAAAAAGAAAAAACTGAATACTTCAGGTTTCATAATGGTTTTTAGGAGCTGCACCAACAAAAAAGGGGTGTATATAGATGTGAATGAGGGCAACATAGCTCAAAAAATGCCAGAGCAAGCTCCTACAAAATGGACCTCATTCATTGATTTTGGCCAATCTTTTCATTTCCTTAAGGCTGTGTACTAATTACCTAGGGAAACAAATTACTCAACTATATAAACAGCTTGTAGAAAAACTGGAGGAAGCTTCTTAGAGCATTTCAGTTACAGATGAATCCTTCATTGCCAGCATTCTCCCAAACTTGTGTTTCCTGTTTGGTTAGCTGGCTGTTGAGCAACTTAATGCAGAGATGGATAGTATTTCCAAGTGTGATTCTACTGATAAACTATGTACACAACATGATTAAAGCAAATTACAATAAATTCTAAAGCTTGAAGATTAGCTGTCAGGTTGGTTTTGGATTTCCAGTTTGATTACAGGGTAGCGTCTAGTTTTGAATATTGCATTCATGCAAATATCTCAGATGCTACAAGATGTCCCAGTATGGCCATGTGCTGAAAACTGAAACTCCCTAGCTCTCCTCTCAGAGGCCAAGGTTTCAGAGAAGCAAGAGTTCCCGCATCCTTATTCTCTTCCTTTATCCCACTCATTCCTTGGCTCTGTGCTTTCTTCTCCACTTCATATACTAAGTTATGAGATCTACTAACAAAGAGGGAAAAAAAAACATAACGAAAGCAGGAAGCAAAGAGCAAGGAAGAATAGGAGAAAGAAGCAACAATGCTTCAAGTTTCAAAAACCACCAGAGGAAAGAGAATTATGTTAATTTTCTAGTCACACAGGAATCCACTTTCTGATGTGCTCAGATCTATCCTTATGCCTTCCATAGGAATATTTTAAAAATGTTTCTCCTTATAGGAGAAGTGCTAGGTCTGGTTTTTTAAAGCGTTATGCTAATCAGTCTATGACAGGTAGGATCAACTATTACAACTACAGTGTGATAACAGTACAGCAGAAAGCTATTTAAAATAACTGCATATTACAATATTAATAAAATTCAAACTTTGTTTAGTATTTCACCAGAAGAAATTTTAGAAGCAGTTAACTCACCAGCTGCAACATTGTCAGGTAACGTTTCCACCAAAGATACTTCTGAATCCATGGGCCAAATGCAGTCAACCCATAATACGAGTACATAATCACATGAATGAAAGAATTCATCTGGGCTCCGAAAAATGCTTTAGAAAACCATAGGTAATTGTAATATTTTAAAAATGCATTAAATAGCAAAACACAGAAATACAAAATAAAGGAACACAGTATTTTCTAATGTTTAATGTTGGTACAGATAAGGAATTCAAGATGTAAACAGTACTAATTTTAACCTTGCAAATAAAATTGTACGAGTTTCAGATGCAAAAGATTTGTAAAGTTTTCAAAGGAAGGCACTCTGTTGAGCTTAAATTAACTAGAACCTAATACAGACTGCTTAGTTATTACTTTACTATTCTGGGCAGGGAGCAGGGGCTGGCTCAGAAGCCTACATAAAAGGATTTAAGTTGATTTGTAAATATTCCATTGTTGTCTTTAGCTGTGCCAATGTACACTTACCAACCCTCCAAAAAGCAGCATTTATTAGTTTTCTAAATATTTTTTAATATAACACACTGCACACACTGAATAAACTACAATGCTAGTCCAATCAATGGCATTCTCGCCTGAATATTAATCAGTAAAGGTATAGATGTAATAATAATTGCGTCATGAATTGTGTCATGATTCACAAGATCAGTTCAGATGTATTAGTTGTCCTTAAAGATTATAGATTGTGACTTTGGCTGCTTTAAATTGGGCCACCAGTAGTTTCTAAGAGTGGTTGCTAGGCTGCCAAGTATTTCATGACAAACCAAAGCAGCAATGTGAACTGCACTTGGTGGCTTGTACTCTTGGTCTTCATCAGAAATGATCCATTTCCAGCTCAGTGATGTGAATCACCTTTAGAACCAGAAGCCTAAGGCCTCACCACTAGAATGGCAAGAATGAGTAGCTTTATCTTGGTAATTCCACCCATGGTCAGAGCTGCTATGGCTGTTCCCCATTAAAAAAAAAAAAAAACCAACTATGTTCTACATTTTGGCTTTGTTTATGCACTTCTTGGAGGGAAATGTTTCCATGTTAATTTCAACACAGTTAAAATGCTAAAAACTTTTGGAAAGATAAAATGAACATGGAAATTATTAACTATGAAAAAGTTAAATAACAAACCAAGACAAATGTCTAGGTTTTCATTGCTTCCCATCCAACACAACTGTGTAATTTCATACAAGCGTTAATATATAACCTTAAACACTCACCTTGTCCCCCTGCAACCCACTTAATTCCAATCCACCACAATGTAAACATCGTACAGTGGTGATACACATGAAGGAAAGAAACTTGATTGTTTTTCTTCCGTAGGATAAAAAATACTGTGTCCAAATATTCAACACCTTTAGATACAAAGTACCACCATAAAGCAGCAGCTATCTATAAAAACAAGTAAAAGCAAGTCAGAAATACCAAATGACAGCTATTACATAGGTTTCTTATTTATTGTAAGCAAGCCTAAAGCAATCTTCATTGTGTAAAAGCTACCAGGCATGGAATCATTTTTCACTAGATGGGTTTGAAACCCAGACATTTATCTATGGGAACAAATAGAAAATAATTGAAAGCTATCTCTACACAGTGGCAATACCTCTGAGAAAAAGTTTCAGCCTGGCAACACTAGTAGGTGGCACAGAGTGTTCAACTGCTAACAGAGCTGTAAATACAATTACACTGGTATACTTTTCAGTTTGTTTGAGAAACAAATTCATTCTGTAAATCCACTTCAGTTGTTCGTGCTCAGGCTACATTACACCTTAGACAAACTTGCAAGACTGAGTGTATGTGGCATCTCCTCCGTCAGGATCTGTCACTCACTTCAATAGGTACACCAAAGTAAGCATCCGATCATAGTGGCTCGTGTTAGGTAGCAAAATAATTAAACTGAGAAACTGAACAAACAAAAACATCAAATATTCCCTGGTACATAAATATAATCCTGCTTACATGAGTAAGTCTTTTCTTTTCCCAGGCTCTAATTAAGACACCAGATGGTGCAGAAAGATTACATGACATACTAAGATTAAGGATCCCAGAAGAGGTGACCTCGGAACATATACCGAGATATATCTGACAGGAATCCCACTATCATGGTAACCAAAAGGTAACTTTGGTATGTGAAGCCTTTTCTATGATAAGTATCTCACAGTCAGATCAGGTGGTCACTAGCTGAAATTGTGTTATGGTCGACTGTGGCAGAGGTCTGAGAGATGCAGAGTCGGGTAGGGCGTTTTCCACCTGACAGAGGCCTCAATTATACTGACATCTGATGTACAACATGGCTTTCTCTTCACTTCATTTTTGCTTTTGAAAAGCAAAATTATAGTTTTAGACTATGGTTAAAGAGAAAGGCCATATCGAAACAAATCTTGTATTTACAGGTTGAGAATTCACTGAATTTGCTTGAATACTGTTGAAAATGATTTAATTGGTTATTAGGCTTAAATAATTACAACCAAGTGTATTTAGTCTTCACTATAAGACAAGTATTTTAAAGTAACTGTAACCACTTTAGCGTAAAAACTTATAGCATATTACATTTAGCCTTTACCATCAGGTTAGCACTCTACAATAAATTAGCTGTACCATTTTAAAACAGTAAACTTTGCCTGAAAAGAAAGAAACTGAGTTCTGTTTTTCCACCAGCCACATTCACACTTCATAATAATTCATCTTTCTCCTTAGTTTGTAAACTATGCTAGATCTGCTTGAAGAGGCTACGCCAAAGCGAAAAGTGATACATCTTGGCAAGCCAACAATGAATACAAAAACCAGCCTCTGAATAAAATATTCATTCCACTGCATCCAATACTCCTAGACAGGACAGAGTGGAAGGAAGATTTTACATGCAATCTGCTGCAAAGCTTATGCTCTGTATCCTTTTAGATTTTTTAAAAAAAAGGAAGAAGTTAATGCGTGTTAGTAGGGTAGGGTCATAATAAGCAGTAGGTGGTTTTTGAACCTTTTCCCTACAAATGTGAATATACTGCCTCGTGCATGGTATTTTCTACGTGTAATCCCAGAAGAAAGTAGGTCAGACACTCTTCCATCACCCTTCTACCCAAACAAGCAACACATCAGTGCCTGCCTCAGTGAATCACAACATGCTTATCAGAAGAAAAATGTTCTCCTAAACCAATGATTTAAGCAAAGCACTCCCACCCCCATTCTCTCTGCAGTAGCATGGGTTTTGTTTTCTTCTTAACCATTTATCTAGATGATGGTGGGCTGTCTCCCACCCTCACAGGAATCCCAGCTTCACGAGGCAGGGTACCTCACAGCAGCTACATGTGGATGATTAATACTCATTTACAGAAAAAAGAGAACCACGTGATCAAGTCAGAGGGTGACTTTCTGGCAGGCTCCTAAGTCTTCTAATAGAGCAACATGAACACAGCAATGATTATTTATAAAAATAAAATGAAAGGAACATTGAACCAGTGTGGTCTTGGGTCTTGAACAATACCTGTATTTTTATTCTCCAACCTCCATTGCCAAAAGCTGTTTTTCTCAAGAGAAGCTACTGTGTATCAAATGCCTATGACATGTACAAGCATACTTGAAAAATGTCCATGGGAGATATAGTTAACGATACTTATTTAGGTGAATAAAAGGTGAAGTTCATGCATAATTTCCTCATAATACACACTTCTGTGAACTTTATAACAATTTCTCATATGCATATACTTTGAAAATTCTGACACAAATATACTTATCTTCTAATTCCATTTCCATAAACTTTAAGTACTCTTTTATTATAAAATATGAAATACACTTAAAACATATGTATGACTTATAATTCTTAGTATGAAAAACAATAATAGAGAAAAATATGTTTTCTCCAATTAAGCTAAATGGTGATCTTGCTAATGCAGGCAACTGGAAAATAAGATATAATACCATTTAATTATTAGTCATTTTTTGCAAATATAATAAAAATTGAATTTGTATCTATGCAAATTGTGCTATGCTTGGCTTTCTAAGTGTTATACAGTTGAATATTTGCTTTTCCTCTGTTTGATTTTTCATTTTTTTCCATGTGAAGAGTAGACACAGAGACAGACAGAGCTCTCCAGTCCTCGGGCTCACTCCCCAGATGCTTACAGCAGCTGAACTAGGCCCTGCCGAAGCTGTGAACCCGGAGCTCCAGCCGGGTCTCCCACCTGGGCAGCAGGAATCCAAGTACCTGAGCCACTGGTGCTTCCCCAGCGTACACATTAGGAAGAAGCCAGATCAGAATGTGAACCAGGACCAGGACCCCAGCACACCAAAATGGGATATGGGTACCCCAGCCAGTAACTTAACTCTATGCCAAATGCCAACCCCTCAGACTTCCTTAGAAAACAAATTACACTTTCATTGTGCGCACCTATTATTGTCCAAAAAGTTCAGCAGAAACATGAAAATATGTTTATATTAAATATGGAACCCCTTTTGTTAATTTTAGAAAATGTATTTACTTGAAAGGCAGAGCAATAGTGTGTGTGTGTGTGTGTGTGTGTGTGTGTGTGTGTGCGTGCGCGCGCGCGTTTAACAGAGAAACATTTCCATCATCTACTAGTTCAGGCCCCAAAGGGGTGCAATATCATCTAGGTTTCCCACTTGGGTTGCAGGAACCCACGCACTTGGGCCAACTTTCACCACCTTCCAGGCACGTTAGCAGGGAGCTACATGGAGGTACAGTAACTGAGACTAGAACCAGTGTTCTAATAATGAGATGGATGTTGGTATCACAAGCGAAGGCTTAACCTGCTTTCCCAGGATGTCAGCCCTATCTTTTTAGAAAATACTGCATCCTGGTAACCTGAGTGAACATTCACTCAGATTGTCACTATCACATCACCAAATAAAAGAACATAACAGAAATAACAATTTTTCAAATATGTACTTGAAAGAAAAGCATAGCTTTACTGACTCAAAACAATCCATAGCAATTTCACTACTACATTCTATTCAAGTGCATTTTTCTACTGAGTAAGCCCTATAAAATCAAGCCACTCTTATTGATTAACAATATTTTTAATATACTTACTCTGACTTCATTAACATTGTTAGAATAATCCACACTCTGGCAAATATAGCTGTATCCTGCATTGTATGATCCCATGAATAACTGAAAAAAGTAGTAATATTTGGGGTAGCTTTAGTAGAGACAACATTATAAACACAGTACTTCAAATTGTTTTAAAAGCAACATTTAAAAATTTCAATTGCAATAAGTACAAATGTGTTGCAATTCCTAACAGTTACTATACCAATTTGTTCTATAATTGAAATTTAAATAAAAAATCACATATAACCTTTGCACCAAGACATCAACTATCTATTCCATAACGTTAAAAGGAACTTTCATTGCCATAACTTCAATCAAAGAGATTATCCTGCATTGACTTACATTGCTGAAATATATATAACAAATATTTTAAATAAAACAGATAAATAAAAAGTTCTATAAAGTTGAGACTGTACAGGCTAGGTTGCCAGTTTAGTTTTTGAAAATTTGAAAGGTGGACAGAAAAGCAAGGAGCAACCTCCCCTGAATGCCCAATGACATTTCAAAATACAGAGCAAAAGTTAGGAGCTAGAAACTCAATCTGGGCCTTCCACACAGAAGAAATTCAATCACCTAAAACATCACTGCTGCCTCTCAAGATGTGCATTAACAAGAAGCTGGAGTCAAAAGCCAGGTGCTCCACAGGCATTGGACCCTGCATCTTAACATCCTGCAAGACTAAACAAACACCCAAAGTTTTTTTCCTTTTCATTTTTGTTTAACAAGAACTACTGTACATTTTGCTAGCATCACTAGTCAATTCTCAGGGATTGTGCAGAATTTTAATGGGTCACTTAAGAAACAAAGTCCTTACACTCTTGCAACTTAAGAGATGGCTGTGTCAATCCAGCCTCTAGGATTTCCTTTCAAAATGTCATGAAGAATGGGCCAGGGCCTAGAAAAGTATGGGATAATAAGCAGTTTACAACTGTAGGACAGCTGACTCATTTTAGTTCCATCTCCAAATACAATGACATTACACAATAGGATTTAGCTTCAAATAACTATTGTATCTGCATATTTTACCAGTTACCAAGCCTGAAACTGCTGAATAAGAATTAGAAATACACATCTAGCAGTGTTAACTGAGGATTTTAATATGCGCCAAACACCACACAAAAATTATTTCATTTAACTCTGATAACTCCAGTACATCTCCATTTTTACAGATGGGGATAATGGGGCTGAAAAAAAGTTAAATGACTTCCAATATCACAATAGCAAATAAGAATTACAATACTGTTCATCTGGTACAAAAATTTCATTTTAAATAGCTCTTGTACACACTGTTTCAGGTTTTTATCCACAAATGAAAAAAATGTCAAAGATTTGCTTTTAGAGTAGTTAACAAGCTTTTTTGAGGTACAATTTTGCAATAATGTTTTTCATGATTTAATTTGCAGTAATGCCAGAGAATGATAGATCAAGTTTAACAAACTTACCTCTCTGAAGATAAAAAGGTTAAGCAAAACCATTCCAAAATTATAAATAATGAGCACCGAGCGCATCTGGAAAGGCTCTCGGTCCTTCATCCACTTTGGGCCCAGCCACACGAACAGGAGGTAAAGAGTGCTTATACTCAGCGTGGGCCATGGAGATTGCATCAGCGGCCAGTTTTCCACACGTTTATCTAGTGAGGGACAAAAATAACACAAATCACTTAGCAGGAAATGCTTCATAAAATGAAAACTTTCAGGAATTAAATGATTTCAACTTAATTTCCTAATTTGCTCCAATACAGATCCATCATTCTAAAAAGTCTCAACAAAAATATGTGGTGCGGAAAACAGACACAAGACTGATTCCTGCAAGTTGCTTTCGAAAATGAAGTTTATCTAGATCTGACATTATGCTGTACACAGAATAAAGGCAAAAATAAAGCTCACTACAAATAGAAAATATGAGCTCAGGAAGAATCATGTGGAAAAAACTTCAGAGGCCGAAAATAAATATGTTAGGAAAACACTTGTGTTCTACATTAGAATTCTGAAATTATTGGTGAAGCGTGGGGGTCTCTCTCCGTGTCCACTTCTCAAGCAGTGAGAGTAGCACTGACAGGGGTGGGGTGGTGGCACTCAGTGGCCAGAATATCTCTACAACAGCAAAACAGCACTCATTACAATTCTACAATTCACACAACAGCATTTATGTTCAGGATATTTTTCTAACTTCTTCCTTGAAAGCACTATCTATTTTATTTCCCAATAATAACAAATTTGCATGCTTTTCCATAAAAACTATAAAAATCTCAGTAAACATGTGTAACGAAATATTTCCTTTCAGATTAAGTGCCTACAATATTAAGACATGTAACCCTAAATCACTTTATAATAAAATGTTGCCACAGTAATACATCTCTAAGAGGAGCTTGATAATGAAACAAAAGACTAACAAAACTTCATCTTTCAATACATTATAAAAAGATTTATGATAATTTTGCATTTCTAAAATCTAAACAACAGGTAAAGGTTGTAAATTTACTATCTAGCTTTATTCTTGGCAATGCAAAATGTTTTTATGCTCTACTTTCATGAACAACACATTTTTAAAGTAGTGAAAGAAAACATACCTTTGTCCTATTCCTAAGAACACAACATAAATACAGTTAATTGCTGGCTACAGCAACTGTACTTAAACAGTCATTTCTATTAAAATTACTTATGCAAAGTGATTCTGGTTTAGATAACTGGTTATTAAAAGTACAGTTTATAGGACTCAGCCATGTGGCTCAGCAGATATACCAATATCCCATATTGGTCTCTGAAACTCCACTTCCAAGCCAGAAAGGAAAATGCTGTTCAATGACTCACTCCTGGAATGACTACAATGGCCAGGACTGGACTGTACCAAAGCCAGGAGCTGGGAAAACTAAGCCTGACTCAAGGGTAGCAGGAACCCAGGTGCTTGAAGTCATCACTGTTGCCTCGCAGAATCAGCAAGAAGTTGGGATCAGGAGCTGGAGCTGGGGACTGAATCCAGGTGCTACAATGTGCCTAGGCTAAATGCCCACAACTGGAGGAAGGTGGTGTCAACTAATCAGGAGACCCATTCTGCTCTACCAAGTGCCTGCAAGAGTCTCCATTCCTTCACAGCCCTCACCACACTGCCCCCGAACTCCCCTTTAATTGCATACTTCTGAAGGGAGGGACTGTGCCTTTCCTTCTTGTACTCTATCCTATCAAGGGCCTTCAACATTTATTTCAGTGAAAAAAAAAAAGAGTGGATAGTGTTTTTGTATTAGTCCTTACTCTCTAACTCTTCTGCCAAATCCAACAGCACATTGACTGGTATCTAGGGTTCCTTTGGTGTCCACCAATCCTTTCCTACAGCTCTTCCTGGCCCTTTTCTGTGTTCATCTGACAACTTCAGCCTAAGTCAACAATACTGCAACCCTGTATTTAGTGAATCGTTGTATACTCTTGAATGCCCTTTACTTCACTGCTCACTACGGTGGAAGAAAGCCATGGCTTCACTTTCTTTATCCAACAGTGTGATTCCTGCATTCACTCAACTACTTCTTTACATTTTTCTTTTTATTTGAAGGGCAAATTACAGGAATAGAAGAGACAGAAAAAAAAGGTCCTCCATCCACTGACCCACTCATCTAAAAGACACAATGGCTGGTGCTGAGCTGATCTGCAGCCAGCAGCAAGGAGCTTTTTCCAGGTCTCCCACACAAGTATAGGGTACCAAGGCTCTGGGCCATCCTCAACTGCTTTCTTAGGCCATTATGAGAGAGCTGGATCACAAGTGGAGCAGCCAGGACATCAACCAGTACCCATATGGGATGCCGGCACCACAGAGCAGAAGATACGTTGGCTGTGCCACAACACTAGCCCCACAGCAATTACTTAATAATTCCTGTTTTCAGCCTGTAAGAGGCAACACTGTATATCACATCATTCTCGATTAGTCCTTCTAGTTCACAAGGGACAGAGAGTTCTCAAAAATAAAACTCTATTGCCTGTAATTATTACAGAAATTGCATTGAACTTCAGCACCTACACCACAGCATAACAATTCCCATGCAAACATTTGCATAAGATTTCCCCATGTCTTCACAGGTATGAAAAATGCATAGGAGGTATGCATTTTTCTTAATTCATTTGCATTAATATTGTCCTTAGTGTTTCTGAAGAGACTCAAATGTCCTACTTCTTTTGTATGTTTCCTTGTCTGATGAAAAGTATGATAATCCCACACAATGATGATGAAAATTCATCACTACTAAGAATCCCAAGTCTTAAAAAAAAGTAACAGCTGAAGAACTAAAATGCTACATAGTAAAAGAAAGTCATGAGTAATCATGAGTACTAAAGCTTGATGTATTTTATGTAAACTATGAAATATCAAAGTAGTATTTTTTTCAATTTTCAAATGCTTAAACATATTTTAAAGATAAATTAAATCCTCTATTCTTTTGGGTTACACCGCATCCAAATGAGATAGGCGCATTAGAGCTACAATCTTACATAAAGTCTTGGATGGAATCCTGTATCATGAACTTATTGAGGGCAAGTAGAAATCCTGAAAAAACTCTATTGAAACTCTACTCCTCTTGTGACCCCAGATACAAAATTCTGTCATCAAAGAGTGCTAAGTTCCAAGTGTACTTCAGGCAAAATTCTTATTTCTCTCTGAAAAACTTCTTTGGAAGTATAACAGTGACACAAATATAATACGACTTTGGCCAACTGTCTTATATTTCAGTTAATATAATTATGTTCATCATAATAAACTGCCTTTTCCTAATGACTTTGCTCTTTTGAGCCTACCTTAAAACAACTTTAAGCCTTCTGTGTTGTCATATAAGCCTTTATTTGAACTAGAATCATGAAATGTGAGATTTAGTAATGACCCCTTTATGTTAGAAACGAGATTCAGAGATGTCAATAGGCTTGTCAGGGCAAGTAAAGCAAGAATGACAGGTGTCTCAGCATCTACTCCAGTACTATTCATTATTCAGACACGTTAATTTTAAGGGAAAAAATTTCCACCAATCTCCTCCTAAATTACAGGCACAAAAAGATGGTTCCTTCAAGGGAAAGAAAATAAAAGTGAGATACAAAAGCTCCCTTGACTAATGACAAGAAATCCAAAAACCAGCCAGGTCTTGCACTGCAGCAGGTGTCACGAGAGGCCTGGCCCAGGCATGCTGTAGAAGCAGGGCACAGGAAGAGAAGGACCATGGATTATCCGGCCTGGCAAAAAAAAAAAAAAAAAGACTCATCAAAAATGAGAGAACCTACTAGAATCAGTCACTCGCCACTTTTACGAGGCAGAACTGGAATTTAAGAAGTCTGAATAAATTTCTAACCACTGGGGTTTTCATCCATCCACATTTGAAAATTAAGTAACTATGACAGCAAATCAAGCTGGAAAGTAAAACACTTTTAAGATGTATTTTATTCATTGACGTTTAATTTAAAAGGCTGAGAGCCTGAGAGAGACAAACAAAGAGATCTTACGCTTGCTGCTTCACTTCCCAAATGCCTGCCATAGCCAGGACCAAGTCAGGATGAGATAATGAGTCTGGAACTCAATCCATGTCTTCCATGTGGATGGCAGGAAACCAAATGTTTTGGCCATCATCTGCTGCTTCCCAAGGTACACATTAGCAGGGACACTACCATGAGCAGAGGCGAGATTTGAACCCAGAGCACCCTGATGTGTGATACAAGAACCCCAAGCAATGTAACCGCATCTGACTGTACACTGACCACAAGATATAAATAATGAGAATTGCCAAAATACTTTTCCTTAATTAATCCTTACAGGAAATAGTTTCCACTGAGAGTATTTTGACTATTTCATAAAGCTCAAGACCAGTGGGACTGATCTGGGTACACTCATTAACTCTGTTGGTAAGCATATAATTATACCTAGTAGGAAAACAATAAAAGACCTCATGACAGTAACAAATGTATTTGTCAATGCTTGCAAGCTGATCACTAAAGGAATCAACTTAGTATGGATAATTATACTTTTATAAAAACTGAGGGAAGTGGTCTATCTGAAAATTGGCTTTTTGAGCACACTCCAACAGGATTTTTAAAAATATTTGTTTATTGTTTTTATTGGAAAATAAGATTTACAGAGAAAAGGAGAGACAGAGAGAAAGATCTTCCATCCACTGGTTCACTCCCCAAGTGTCCACAATGACTAGAGCTAAGCTGATCTGAAACCAGGAGCTAGGAGCTTCTTCCAGGTCTCCCATGTGCACAATGTCCCAAGGCTTTGCACTGTCCATCCTCTACTGCTCTCCCAGGCCACTAGCAGAGAACTGATGGGAAGTGAAACACTCAGGACATGAATTGGCATTCATATGGGATTCGGGCAGATGTAAGATAAAGATTTAGTCACTAGGCAATCATGCCCTCCAACAGGTTTTTATTCTTTATCTGATTTATATAGTAAATTCACACAGCACAATGGGAACAAGTAGAACAGATTTTGAAGTCAGAAACTCCACCTTCTTGGATCTATATGCTTTCAGGCAGGTTTCCCCTCCCTGACCTCTCAAGGCTCATTACCTTCCAGAGAAGGAAACAAATAGGAACATACAAATTGTTGGGTAGTGTGATGGGTGCAGCACCACAGCAAAATCCTACAAGCACTTAGACAGGAAAG